TTTTTAATTATTAAATATTCAAACATATTTTTTAAATTGTTAAATATTATATCTAATATTAATTTTTAAAATTTTAATATTTAAAAATTGGTTTATATTTATTTTTATAAAATTTAATTTTGAAATCTCTCTCTATATATATAATCAATTTTACCCATAATAAAAATTAAATTACTATATCCTTGCTAAAACTTTAAAATTAAAAAAAATAAATTAACTTATTTAAACTAAGTATTTAAAAAATTGATAAAAAGTTAAAATCAAAATAATTTAAATTTAAATTTCTAAATTTCTACGATCAAGCACACCATTACAGTTTTCTATCCACTTTCTTAATTAGGTTATCCTATTTCTTTGTCTACAAACGATAGTTAGTTGGCCACTTGCATTTTACATATATCTTATTTCTTCTAGCTCCGGATAACGTGAAGAAATGGGTGAAATGAAAAATTTTAAAAATGTAGAATGTAAACAAATGCCACCTTTGATTAGAAAATAGGACAAAACTATCTGACTAATTAAATGGAGATGATTTATTGGAAGACAGTGATTGTTCGTTGATCGTTCACACTTTATCATACTTATAACACTATATCCTTAATATATACAAAGTTTAATAAAAATGAGCCACTCACGCAACATCTATTCTATAACTGCAGACGCAAACTCATACATGGTGTACTTTAATCACGAGATTAAATTTTATATATATATATATAACGTGATATAACTCTTTTTCTGCCAGAGTTATCTTTATAAAAATAAAGTTATGCATATGATTACGACTTTATAACTAAATCAGAAACCGAATATTATTTTTTATTAAAAAGGAAAATATCAAATCATTTAAACTAATAAATTAGTTCATGATATTAAATTTAGAAAATTGATGAGTGTCAATTTTTCTTAGATAATTCGGATAAATACAATAACTTTTAGCCCACGAGATAGTTTATTTATATACAAAATCAAATGAAGTTATAAAAGAATTCATTTTACCGAACAAGTGCACGAAAATATATATAAAAAATAACTTATAAGAATTATAAATTCTTTTATGAGTTCAAATAAATTTTATAAAAGCTTTAGAAGCTTCCTTATTTTTTTTACTCGGTTAGCAATACCATATTGGAAGTTAGTGATATATAAAGTGTTATTATACATATAATATTATATATATATATATAATTGTTCTGATAAGAGAAAAACTATTGGTTTAAATAAAATTTAATAACATATATTATATGTTATTATATATATATATATATTATATTTATAAAATAGATAAAAAAATAATTTTTAGTACTAAAATGTTAAATCATTATAGGATATGTCACGATATTTTTTTTAAGTGTCTGTGAGTATATTCTTATGATCTACGACATGTATGCATGATCTTTTTGATCAACTTTAAATTTTATTCAAAATAATTATTAATTTTATTTATTTATTTTAAAATTACTATAACAAAATTTATTATTATTGATAATTATTTAACGACAATAAATTAATTGTCTCTATTTTATTATCTAATAAAAATATTAATAACTGATATATAATGATCACTAAAAATGTATTTATATCACATCAAAATTTATTATTAGCGATAATTATTTATTAGAAAAAATTTAAGTCTCATATGGACTAGAGATAAAATAATTAAATAGTATATAAGTGGATAATAATTCTCACCTTACAAGTTTATTTTGTAGGATTAAGTTAAACTTATAACTTACTATTCTAAGTTGAGATTACTTACCATTACCAAACTCAATAGTGCTAAACATTATCGGGTGTATTGGGAAAAATCTTAAACATCAATTAGAGAGGTAATTAAAGAGTATTTGTACTCATTTTATAAGTCTCATATTGACTAAAAATAAGATAATTAAAGAGTATTATGAATCATTTCTTAAACTTTTAGTGGGAATAGCAAAAAAATACTAAATGTCAGTAAAAAAAAATACCAAAAAAACTTATACACTTTTTTCTAACCATTGAATTAAAAATTCTTAATACATAGATCAAGTTTCAATGATCCAAAATTTCAATGATCCAACCATTGAATTAAAAATTCTTAATACATAGATCAAGTTTGTAAATTTTTAAAAAAATTTAAAAACTATTTCATATTTTGTTTCATTAATTCAAATTGGATAATTATAAAAATATTTTATAGGTTGATTTGAATTTAAGAAACAAAGTATGAAATAGTTTTCAATTTTTAAATATTTACAGACTTGATCTATATTAAAAAATTTAAATTCAATGATTGAATCGTTAAAATTTCATATACAACATGAATCATTGAATAAAGTAAATTTAAGTAATCTTACTCTTACAATAAGTGAATCCATATTTAATTAATTATTACCAAGAGTGGAATCTATAATCATTATATCTTTGTTCCATCACTTTTTTTCGTAATAAAATTTTCATATTTTAATACACGTTGCGTTTTTCTTCTTTTACCATAGAAATAAGCACTACAACAAAATTTATTTTTACAGATAATTATTTAACAGTAATAAATTAATTACATTTATTTTATTATTTAATAAAAGTATTAATGACTAATATATAATGGTCACTAAAAATGTATTTATATTACACCAAAATTTACTATTAGCGACAATTATTTATTAAGAAAAACTTTAGTCCCACATCGACTAGAAATAAGATAATTAAATAGTATATAAATGGATAATAACTCTCACTTTACAAGTTTGTTATGTAGGATTGAGTTAGACCTATAACTTACTATTCTAAGTTGGTATGAAATTGCTCACCATTATCAAACTCAATAATCTTTAAACTTGAGGGGACCGACTATTGATAAGAAAATTAAAAAAAAAATAAGTAGAAGACAACCTTATCTTACAAGTCCCACATCGACTAAAAATAAGGTAATTAAAAAAAAATTAAAAAGAATATATAAGTAGACGACAACTCTCATCTTACAAGTCTCAGACTAGAGATAAAGTAATTAAAGAGTATTTGTACTCATCTTACAAGTCACACATCGATTAAAAAATAAAAAATATCATAAAAAGTTATACACTTTTTTCGACCATTATAAAGGTTTTTACTAGCATATAGAATAATTGTCGCTAAATGTTTTAGCGACACGGCATACAATGACTAATTTGAAAATGCTGGTAAAAGATTTTGTAACAATTTTTATTGTCACTAAAATTTATATTAAATGCCACTAAAAGTTTATTTTGTTGTAGTGAAGTGTAGAAGAAAGTATAGAAAATACACACAAAATAGACACAAAATTAACCATAACTTAATTAAATTAACAAATACACACAAAATAGTGATATACTAATGATTTAATGTTAATTACGGATCTTGAAATAAAGTTTATTTAACCAAATTTAAAATAATAATATAAATAAAGTTTGTAAATCAATATAAATTATTCATACTACCAACCATATTATTATAGTTATAGTGAATTACCAACAAAAAAAAAGTTATAGATATATTACCAATACATTAAATATTAGTGTAATACATTATACTATTAGTGTAAACTTACGATGTTTATTTATATCTATATATAAAAAATGATTTTTTTTTTTATGTACACATTATTTTGACAATTTTAATTTTTTATAATTACATAAATTGTATGATAATAATTAATAAAGGAAAGAAAAATCTTTTTCATAAACGTTTTATATTTGAAACTGTCCTCTACTAATATGTTTTGTATTCAATGAAGATTCCATGAAAGTATGAAGTGTCTTTTTTTTTCTCACTAATATTAATAATTAAATTTATTTTAATCAAGTTATACTAATAAAAATAATCTTAATTTTCAATGTTTTTTATCTATCAATAAACAACTTTTTTGCAAAAATGAAAAATATTAAAAGAAAACAATCTTTCACTTTTTTCTTTTATTTAAGATTTAACATTTAAGATAACGGATCGAGGGAATTCAATTATTATGTGGCTGCAAAGCCAACGAGCAAAACAAAACTTGCAAGCTCTTATTCTTCGTCCTTTAGCATCCGGAATAAACATTAGCTACCTTACTCCCTGTTTCTAATTTCTTATATTCTAAAATTAATAATGTCAAAAAACAATTCAAATTTTTAAATTCAAATCTGTGAGATATTATTTAGATTTTAAAAGATATTGATTCTTTAGGATATTGTTTATAATTGAAATATATTGTATTTATTTTATATATTTGTTTTCTCTTTTAAAATTGTGATATAAGGTCAATAAATAGAGACTCTTGAGATGAGAAGAATTACCCGACCTGTAGAGGAGGTCACCGCCTTAAATGAGATAAGATGTCATATGAAAGAGGGTTTCCAAGTTTCGCCAGAAAACTTGTGAATGATGGTTTTCAAGTTTCGTCAGAAAACTTGTGAAGAAGGGGTTTCCAAGTTTCACCCATAAAACTTGTGAGGAAGAGGTTTACAAGTTTAACTTACAAAACTTGAAGGGAGAATTTTCAAGATATATGAAACACGTTTTGAAATAAATAATGAACATCCTCGTAGACGTAGACATCAGAAATTGAACCACGTTAAATAAATTTGTGTAATCTTTTTCCATTTCTTTTATAGTGTTATTTTAATAAATTTTTCATAATTATTATTGTGTATATAAAAGAAAAGAAGTTTTTTTTGTTCTCAACAATTTATACATTAAAACTCAGCAATAAAATAAAGTAATAGATGAGAAAGATAAGAAAATAGATCATAATTGATTTGATCGATTTATTCTTTAATTATCTTTCACATAAAACACGTTTAACCTATGTTCCGACTTCTCAGTTAATTAATTAGTTAAGATGACTTCAAATTCGAAGAAATGTCACAGTCCACACCACACTGCTTGCCAAGGATTAATGTCTGTACTTAATAAATTATGCATGAGCAATGCATTCCTATTTGTTTAATGGAACGTGATTAAAAAAAAAAAAAATCACTGTTTCGGTGGTTCTAAGGAAAGTTTCATCCACCTAATAAAGTCCTCACTCACCTTTCATCATAAACATAACATCAAAGATTCAAAACTGTTAAATTTTTGCAGCATCAAGCTTTTCCAAAAATATCATACTATGTCTTCTCTAAGATCCACCATGTCAAATGATCATTCCAAATCAACCTTTGATGAGCTCCGATGGGTGATTAACATCCGCAAAACCCTTGAGGAGGAGCTTGAGGAAGATGGTGAATTTTCTGTATCCATCTTCAGCGTGCCAAAGCTCCTCATGGCAAGTGATCCAGACTCATATGTCCCTCAACTGGTTGCAATAGGCCCTTACCATTATTGGCGTCCAGAGCTGTATGAGATGCAGAGGTACAAAATTGCAGCAGCAAAAAGGTTCCAGAAGCGTCTACAAAGCTGCAAGTTGGAGAATCTCGTTGACCAGTTGACCAAGTTGGAGCAAAGGGCTCGAGCATGCTACCACAAGTTCTTGGACTTCAATGGAGAAACATTGGTGTGGATGATGACAGTTGATGCCTCATTCTTGCTTGAAATCCTTCAAGTTTATGCCGTGCAAGAAGGAGGAAAGGTATTGTTAGAAAATAGAGGAGATTGTATTGATGTAGTCACAATAATCTATGTAAATTGATACATTTTTTTTTCGATAATTAAGAATTATTAATTAACTTTACTAATGACTAATTAATTTTCATTGAAAAACCTGATAAAGTTTCCTATTGTAGAATATGTGTTAATGTATACATATTACATAACTTTTTAATTAATTAACATGCTAAGTGAACATAATATCAACAATCATTTGAATATTAGGTTTTTTTATCGGTAGAAATTACACCAATAACAACAAAATTTAAACAAAAAATCTTCTATTATTCTAATTCCTTACTACTAAGCAACCGTAGTGGTTTCCTTAATGTCCGTTAATTCGTCTTAAATTATAACCTTTCATCTTTTGGCACCCATATTCACAACCTTTCGATTTCGAACAATTATTTCTAGCAGGTACCCGGGGTTTCCTCAAGCATGTCTCATTTGGTGGACTATTCTGGGAAGAAATCAGCCCATAATGCAATTTTGAGGGACATTGTAATGCTTGAGAATCAAATCCCACTATTTGTGTTGAGAAAGATGCTGGAGTTCAGATTCTCATCACTAGAAGCTGCTGATGACATGCTGAGCTTGATGTTTATAGGGTTGTTCCAGGAGATTTCTCCTTTCAAGCTGATGGAGGAGTATCCAAACACTAAAGTCTCACAGAGTGTGCATTTGTTAGATTTCTTGTATGATTTGATAGTACCAAAACTAGACCAACAGGCAGACACACTAGAAATTGATGAGTTTCAACAAGGAGATGAAGCAAAGGAAGGAAAAGAAGAAGCAAGCTCAAACTCAAGCCAAGTTAAGCAATTCTTCAGTGAAATATGGAAGCTGCTCTCAAAGTTAAACAAAGGGCCAGTGAAGTTAGTCAAAAAGGTAATTGTATCTAAACCTCTCAAAGTCTTTGCTCAGCTTCCTTGGAAAATAGTGTCAAACCTTCCAGGACTCAAGGTTCTGAAGCAACCTGTTGAAAACTTCTTTTTCTCACAAGAAAAAGGAGATGAAAAAGAAGGTGGGGGTTCAAGCTCCAATAATCTCATGAACAAGCCACCCTCGGTGGAGGAAATCACTATTCCTTCGGTTACAGAACTCATGAGTTCTGGTGTTCGTTTTGTACCAACTAAGGGAACCATATCAAACATAAGTTTTGATGCAAAGACATGCACGTTGTACCTTCCCACAATTGGTTTGGACGTTAACAGTGAAGTTTTCCTGAGAAATTTGGTGGCATATGAAGCCTCGGTTGCATCGGGGCCATTGGTTATAGCACGTTACACTGAGTTGATGAACGGGATCATAGACTCGGAGGAAGATGCAAAGGTTCTGAGAGAAAAAGGGATCATTCTGAACCAGTTGAAGAGTGATAAAGAGGTGGCTAACTTGTGGAATGGGATGAGCAAGTCGTTGAGATTGTCAAGGGTGCCATTGTTGGACAAGGTGATTGAAGATGTTAACAAGTATTACAATGGTAAAATGAAGGTAAAAATTTGGAAATTCATGAAGGTTTACATTTTCAGTTCTTGGCAGTTTTTGACATTCCTAGCTGCTATTTGCCTCTTGCTCTTGATGGCTTTGCAAGCTTTCTGCTCTGTCTACACTTGTAGTCGATTTTTTAGTTCTGCACTAGATCATACCGAGTGATTCATGCAATGATGTTATGTGTTAACAAAATTTGAGTTTTTTTTTTTTTGTTATAACCCAATTATTCATGATGTGACGTTGGTTGCTACATAAACGAATCTTTTGTGATAATGATCAAAATGATTCGTGTCGTTTAATGTCTAATATTTAAGGTTAGCTCAAGTTTATGCTTATTTTATCTTATTTTTTAAATTCGGTTGTGCATCTCTTTTGGCTGAATTTGTATAATATATGCTGTTGATACAACTTGGTCTATTTAATAAACTCGGCCAACCACTAGCCAAAGCCATGCCAGGCTTCAGTAATTTAGTTGTGCCTTTCAACGAAGTTATAATATTCTTTTCATTACCTTAAAGCCCCGGACTTAAAATTAATGTTGGTTTGATAAGCTTAGTACGTACTTATCGTTTTTCCAAATTAAATTTACGTATCAAACAGTACTAATGCGTGAAAAACAATAATGATATAAATTAATGTTTTTTTATTCTCCCATTAATGTGGTGAAGCATAACGAGTGATGATACGAAGAACTAAACTTAGCAATGCTATAAGTGTTGTTAGGATTTGTTTTAGACTAAAGATTGAAGTTTCACTTAAATAATATGTGTAATAAAATATTTTATTGAATGTTAACGTGTATCAACAAGAAGAAACTTTAATTCTAATAAAATAATATGTGTAATAAAATATTTTATTGAATGTTAATGTGTATTATTAAGATAAAACTTTAATTTTTGATTAAAAAAAAATCTTCAAGTATCTATGGCAGTATCGCATTTAAGTTTTTTTCCCAACAGGAATCCCCTTGGCCAAGTGCTTGTGATCAATATGCATTCGATTTGCCGAATTTGAGAAATATTTTATTTCTATCATTCTATGTTAGGGATTATAATGACTTATATATGTAAGGTACTATAATATCTATCTATATATTTAAATTTTTAAAAAATGTATTCGAGTTTATATTTGCGCGAATAACAACTTTATTCATCATCTAAATTTATTGCTATTTATATACCCACATTCACTTGTTATTTGCACTTTATTTAAGCGTAAGGTTGTTATATAAAAAATATATATATGAAACCTTAAACAAAATTTAGTTTAATGTGATCTTCGTGATTTATTTGGTATGATCTTAGAAGTTAAATTTTAAAATAATAAGAGTTAGGCCAGTGATGATTGTACACATGTAAATATGTAAAGAATTTTACAGGCGAAATAAATGTAAAGAAAGCACTCTTCATGAATCTTGATCTCCCTAAATTTTCTAATAAAAAATAAAATCAAATTGTATATTTAATTAAATAACTTGTACCACAAAAGTAAAAATAACATTCTATCTAAAAGTAAATAAATTCATTTAATTATATCTTATGGTTATATATTTGTCATTTTTATACACATGCGAGAAAGACTCTTTAATTTCATACACTTTTATAAGATCAATTGATTCATGACTGCTTTTTTTTTTTTTGTTAATGATTATCAATTTTGTATTTAATCTTTGAAAATGCAAGCCTAATTAAATTTAGATGAGTATGTTTAGATGAAGAATTTTAATGAACTAATTCATTTCTTTTATAAGAATTTTAAATGTTTTGGGATGAAATGTTTTGTTTAGATGGAGAATTTATAAATAATTTAAAATCTAAGCATTTGTGAAAAATTTTAAAATAGTATAATTTTAAATTTTTCAAAAAATAAAGATAAGAATTTGAAATTCTTCATATATATTTTTTCTTTCTTATCTCACTTATGTATCTTTTATCTCTCTTATCTCTTAATTATTAAATATTTAAAAATATTTTTTTAAATTATAAAATATTATCTAATATTAATTTTTAAAATTATTAAATATTTTAAAAATGAATAATATTTATTTTTATAAAATTTAATCTTAAATTCTCAATATATATATATATATATTTAAAATCAACTTTATTCATGATAAAAATCAAATTATCATATCTAAAACAAAATTTTAAAATTTTAAAAATTAATAAAAATTAATAAAAATTAATAAAAATTAAAATTAAAGTAATTTAAATTTAAATTTTCTTAAATTTTTAAAATTCTTCGTCCAAGCACAATAAGATTCCAAAAACTCATAACTAGAAATATAAAATTAACTATTCCCATACATTTGACCAGGTTTGACCAGGTTTAAAATGTTCAAAATAAAAATGTTTAAATATGATTTGATCTCAATAATTTTACTCATTGAAGTTTTAGTCCTGATTTTTATTTTACTAATTTAGATATTGATTCCTATATATTTATTTATTTTTTAATTAAGGATTAATAAAATATTACACTAATACCTTAATTAACAGTGAGAATCTACACGAAAATTAAATAAGTATATATATGTAGATGGATGGTTTAAATTAGAAATTATTTCTTAAAGTATTTGAATTCTGATCCTTATATAATTCATGTAATCTCAATATATTAAAACTGTCCAAGAATGGCAGATACTGTCTTGCTACAGTTTTTTCCTCGCCTCATATTTTTAACCTCTATTTTTTTTTCTATTGGAAATTAAAATTCCTGATTTGGTTTTCTTTTTCTATGCTACTTTCTATTTCTTAAATAAGGAAAGTGTCGAGTAATTAAATTTAAAAGAAGTAAAGTATATTTCATTTTTATTAGTATTTTTATTAAAATTTCTAATAGACTTTTGGATAAACATCTCTATTAATTAGTACTTTTAAGAAAGAAAAATAGGAATTAGAAAGAAGAAACAAAATAAACTTTTTTATAAGCTAAAATTAGTTTATGTATAAATTAAAAATAAAATTTTGAAAAATTAACATGAGAGAACTTCTACAAATTAGTTTATGCATAAGTTAATTTCAACTTATAAAAATGTTCATTTTATTTTTGCTTCAAATTTTACCCTCTTAAAAGTATTTATGAGAAAGTTTACCCAAATTAATTATAATTATAATTTATGTATGTAAAAGTATATTATAAATATTATTACATGTTTTTGCCTAGAAATATTTTATGCAAGTAAAAGTATATTATAAATATAAATAATTTAATTTAATATATTTTATACATTAAAAATAATATTATTGACAAACAAGACGACAAATATTCACATGTCTAAATCATAAATTTAAAATAACAAGTCATAATAACACAATTTCATGCTTCAAATTTAAAAACATTGTCATTATATATACTTAATATAAAAATAATAATTAAATTAAAATTTATAATAATAAAGTTCATAAATATTAAATTCATAATAATAAAATTTATAAATAAATAATTAAACTAAATTTAAAAAAAAAATCATTAATTTAAATAGTTTGACATTTATCTTCCTTAATTAGGGACTAGAAATCGATCTGTCTTGTGTACGATGTTTTCCATTTTTATAACACCATAAATGGTAAGCTCCCATTATAATGTTAAAAAAATGAAATGCTGAAGTTTAAACGAAATAATAGTGTATCATTTAAAAAACATGCCGTTTCTTAAAAAACATATACCTTATCCCGTTTGATAAGATCAAAGAATGAAGGATCGAGTTTTACTAACAATAAAGAAAAACGAAAAAGAAAAAGTAAGAAATGTATTTCATGAAAGTTATTGAAAAATATATTAGTGTTGGTATCATCGCTAAAGAAGAAAACGGCATGATATCAATCAGTGACTTCCAATAAAGCATTCTAAATTATATTTGATTTGTTCAGCCAATTATACTACTTTATTCCTATAGCTAAAGTGGCTATTCGTTTACCATTATTTTAAACTATATCTTAACCTTATATAACTTTAGCCCAGAGATAGGGAAAATAAGATATAGTTGAAATGTTCAATACATTTTCAAATAAAAATAATAATTAACATGAAAGTGGGGAATGCTTACCGTGGGTTGTGTCATGAAATGGGCCTTTAATTATGAGAATTATCGGCAACAAGCCAACTTACACGTTAATTAAAAGCAAGTGGGTGGTTGTGGTTACATATTTTACCTTTTCTTTTAGTCAAAGCCATCTTTCAATTAACAAATCTATTAAAACGAAAGTAAGTTACACATGCAAAACAAACTTCACTTTTTTTCCTCATTCTTATTACTGTAACATTCCTGATGAGTGACGAAGAGATTGTACTTAATTTGCTCGTGTTTCTCATTCATTGGCCATACTATATATTATATTGTAAAAAAAAAAAAAAAGAGTAAGGTAATTAAACCAACGTATCACTTGCGATATATATCCACATTTCTAAGTTAAAGTGACATAAAATTCCCAAGAATAAATGCTATTCTTCCAACCTTGCCGGTGAAGGGCAATAACTATCAAAATTAAGCACGAGAAAAACATTTGTTGAGGGAAGTTTTAGTGATGATCAAATATATTCATATGGTTCTTATATAATATAAATAACAATGTTCATGAGATTATGCCAGAACAAAATTAATCTTCATCCATTATGTCCTAACTCCCAAGTCCTCACTCTTCCTCAAAGATAACTAGCCAATACGGTGATACCTACAAAACTTTACATTATTATCATTTGATCATGTCTTCTTTGAAATCAGTTATGTCTCTTTACTCTAAGTCCAACTTTGATGAGCTTCAATGGGTCATCCAAATCCGTAGAACCCTTGAAGAAGAGGTTGATGAAGATGGTGAATTCCCTGTATCCATCTTCAGCGTTCCGAAGCTCCTCATGGTTTGTGATCAAGATTCTTATATTCCTCAGCATGTTGCACTTGGTCCTTACCATTATTGGCGTCCAGAACTGTATGAGATGCAGAGATACAAGCTTGCAGCAGCAAAAAGGTTCCAGAAACAGTTACAAAGCCTCAAGTTGGATAATCTTGTTGACCAGTTGACCATGTTGGAGCAAAGGGTTCGAGCATGCTACCACAAGTTCTTGGATTTCAACGGGGAAACATTGGTGTGGATGATGGCAATTGATGCCTCATTCTTGGTTGAGTTTCTCCAAGTTTTTGTGCCATGCAAGATGGAACAAAATTACCATGTATCTCATGATGCAATTTTGAGGGATGTTGTAATGCTTGAGAATCAAATCCCATTATTTGTGTTGAGAAAGATGCTTGAGTTCAAATTCTCATCACTAGAAGCTACTGATGAGATCCTGATCTTGAAGTTCATAAGCCTATTCAAAGAGATTTCTCCTTTCAAGATGGTGGAGGAGGAATATCCACACAATATTCAAGTCTCCAAGAGTGCACATCTTCTAGATTTCCTGTATCACATGATTGTACCTAATGTATTAGAACAAGAGCAAGGTACAATTGATCAAGTTGAGTTTCAACAAGAAAAGGAAGAAGGAAATGAAAAACCAAGTGGTGACTCAAGCCAAGTTAAACAACTCTATAGTGAACTATGGAAGCAGCTTTCAAAACTAAACAAAGGGCCTGTGAAAATAATGAAAAAGGTAATTGCATCTAAACCCATGAAAGTCTTTGTTAAGCTACCATGGAAAATCATAACCAAACTTCCAGGGGCTAAAATTCTTAAACAACCTCTTGAATACTTATTCTTCTCTCAAAATGAAGGAGAAAGTATGAGTTCAAGCTTGAATATGAACAAACCACCCTTGGTGGAAGAAATCACTATTCCTTCAGTTTCAGAACTCTTGAATTGTGGTGTTAATTTCTTACCAACCAAGGGAAGCATATCAAACATTAGCTTTGATGTGAAAACATGCACGTTGTACCTTCCCACAATTGGTTTGGACGATAACACTAAAGTTTTCCTGAAAAATTTGGTTGCATATGAAGCTTCAGTTGCATGGGGGCCATTGGTTATAACCCGTTACACTGAGTTGATGAACGGGATTATAGACTCGGAGGAAGATGCAAAGATTCTGAGGGGAAAAGGGATCATTGTGAACCACTTGAAGAGTGATGAAGAAGTGGCTAACATGTGGAATGGGATGAGCAAGTCGTTGAGATTGTCGAGGGAACCATTGTTGGATAAGGTGATTGAAGATGTTAACAAGTATTATAACGGAAGAATGAAGGTTAAAGTTATGAAGTTCATGAAGGCTTACGTGTTTGGTTCATGGCAGATTTTGACGTTCCTAGCTACCATATTGCTCTTGCTCTTGATGACCTTGCAAGCTTTCTGCTCTGTCTATACTTGTAAATATACTTTTAGTGACACTTCCGAGTGATTATTTTGATTTGCACCTTTTTTTTTTCTTAGAATAATAATAAGTATAAATACTTCATTGGATTTTTTTTTAAAAAAATTTATCGGATCATATTATTTATTATGTATTTCTCACTTCTCTATCTATTTCTCTATGTTTATAGATGATCATTAAGGATCCTAGGATATTTTTGTTCTTTTTATAATTTTATTTCATCATATGATCATATCAGTTAAATTTCTTGGGAAAAAAACTAGAAGTGGGCTTTATTTTTGAACTATAAAAATGAATTGGAGATAAAAATAAAAAATGATAAATATTTTTAAGAAAGTGAGTTAATAGAATCAAATTTAATTTTATAAAATTAATTTATAAAATGAAGATTATCCCCTACATATAAATTAATATGACTATCTTATTAATTTATATGAAATCTTTAATATATTTTTCTCACATCGAAGATCGACCATATCAAAATTTATAAGACTGGGCATTTTGAAGTCTAATTAGTTGTAATTACTTTACTTAATATAAATCAAAATAAATTTATCATAATTATTTTAGTTAATATAATTATGTATTTTTATGAATTACAAAAATAATAATAATAATAATAAATCAGTTGCATATTGAGAGGATATTAATTAACATATGTTGACTGTAGTTTTCGTAATTAATATAATTATGTATTTTTTTTTGTAAAAATAATATATAGGTTTAAATATATTTTATTTTTATCTTGATAATTTTTTTTTAAAAAATCCATGATATTATAGTTAATTACCATTGTTCATTTTAAAATGGTCGTTTTTTTTAAACTATTTTAAAAATTATTATACCTGAAAACTAAATAAAATAAGAAAAAAAAATTACAATCAAGATAAAATTATTTTGGAAAGCTAAAATTGCATTTTTAGTCTCACTGATCTGTAATTTTGGTGATTTTCTTTTCTAATTACAAAAATTTGGCCTTATGTCTGAATTGTTAGTTGGCATGGCTGCATTGATATAAACCTGGTGATTTCAAGATGGTTAGAACTCGTAACTTTCATCATCAAATTCGTTATAAATTAATAAACTAATTAATTCTATAATAATTAAAGATAACCAAAAACACACACAAAGTCCGTTAATATTTGGCAGATATAAATATAAAAAATAAAAAAAATAAAAAATAGTTGCTCTGGAGCAATATTATAGAAGAGAAAGATGAAGAGCTAGATGTGAAAATATATACATATAAGAGAGAGAGAGAGAGATGATGGAACAAATTGACTTAATCTTATAGAGTACCTTCCACGTTAACTTTGAGAAGACCCTCCATGGTGAGGCTTGGAGAAGAGGAAAGAAGAAAGAAGGTGAAAGTGCAATACCATGTAAAAGGAAAGGGTGAAGATATGAGAATATATATATATATATATATATATATAGAGAGAGAGAAAATCAAATTTGAGTTATTTTAATATATGCTGTTTTACTAAGTCAAACCAATTTAAGTTGTAACTCAAATTCAAGTGGATTTTAGAAAATTAAAATACCCAATTGATATTTTTTTCATCAGCAAAGAGAGAAAATTTATAAAACTGGTAAAAGGTACCAAAAACTCGTATACATATCACAATTCGAGTAAAATGCACCAGTCATATATCTAAATAGTTAGTATAATTGGTTACTTTACACTCCCATAGGTTATAAATAGAAGATAACTAACCAATCCACCCCCTACCTCCTATAGACTAGCACCAGAACTAATACACGCTTAATCGCTTATCTCCTCATTATTAAGGATGTTCAAATTGCTAAATTGAACTAAACTAGAAAAAAATTAAACTGAATTATAATAAATAGTTTATCAAACTAAATTGAATTAAAATAAATATTGATTAAACTAAACTAAATTATTATCTAGTTTAGTGCACTATAGTTCTAGGAGTTTAAACTAAACTATAATATCAATTAAATTAAACTATTATTAATTATAAACTAAATTGAATTACATTAAAAAAAACAAATTTAAAATCAACATTTTTAAATTGAGCTACCAAATCATTGATATTAATTATGAATTAAATTTAAAATAGTTTGAAATGTAAAACAAGTATAACATTGATAATAGTCTACATAATAGATCTTTCATTCATATTTTTTTGAAAATCAATCAAATCTTATTATAATAGTTTAGTTTTTAAACTAAACTTAAAATATAGTTTAGTTTAGTTTTTATAAAAATTAGTTTAATTTTTTATAGTCTAGTTTAGTTTAATTTTTACAATAGTTTAGTTTAATATAGTTTTCTGAACACCCCTACCCATCATGTTAGATAACTAATATTTGGAAAACACAAATCAAATACCAACTATAACAACTTAAGTGCCGAATTGGAACATATGTAGTCAGTCTGCAACATTCATGAGCATTGAAATTACTGTACTCATATTACAATTGGGCCTTTTATAATGAAAAGCAACTCAACTCCCTGTATAGTTCTCAGCCCATAAACAAGCGCCTGGAATGGAAATCCATTGATCAAAGTTATGTTGAAATTGGTCTTTCCTTAAATTGAGCCAAGACCAAGCAGTGAACATGATATCTTGTTTCAATTTCTGCCTATCAAGCTCAACATCATGCAATTGTACTTCTATGTCCTCAAATATTCCCTGTGACTGCATACCATATGACCTGCCACTTGTGCTTTTCTATCTTGGATTGGAATGTGTATGGTGCTTGGCTAAAATGTTGATTTGGACCTTCTGGTAAAACAGTTGCTACAGATATCCACTAGTAGCATTCCTTCCACATTAAGTCAGTTTCTTGGACGTGAAAAAAAAAATGTGGAACTATTTCTTCGTTTGTATGACATAATGGACAGATACATTCTTCCATCCTCAAAATTGCATATGATGAGATTATTAGTTGTATTGGCAGCCCATTATTGATTATCCTCCAAACCAGAATCCCAGCCTTGAGGGGTACTTTCAATTTCTCCAATTTCCACACTTTTGAGGCTATTTTATCTACACAACTTCCAAATTTTGCAATATGTACTGTTATATGCAGAATTTACTAAAAATATCCCCGAGCTCCCATCAAGCCACACCCAACTATCTTTCTTTCCTTTTTGCCTTTTGACATTCAACAGTAATTATTGCAAATTTTGCCAATGAATTGTTTCCCATTCAAAACCACCCTCTCCTCCACTTACAATTCCACACCCAGTCATCCCCTATCCAACTATCCATAGTTAAAATTAAGTCTTGATGTTGGCCTGAATTCAAAAATAGCCTTGGATGCTTATATGTCAAACATTCTTCCCCTTCCCTGTACAATTATCCAACCAAAATCTTATTTGTTCCCCTTATGTAATGACCTAATAGGTCTATACATTTTACAATTCAACATCTAAAAGTGGAAATTATAAATCTATTTTCTTACGATTTACCATGTAAACAGTCTCTAGGTATATATATAATAGTATATATCGGA